TCAACTAAAGCACAGGCACAGCTAGAAAGTCACCCCAGGCTTCTGACTCCCCTTAGTTGTCTTTCCACTCCAGCAAGGCAGCTTCCTATCCATCCTGCCACAGTCACCACCACGCCTCTGAGAAAGGCTGATTACTTCATGCACCATTTCTATTTAAAAGAGTAGAGAATGGTTTTGCCCAGTAAATTTCCCAACTACTAGAGGTAACTTCTCAGGCATCAGGAAAATTCAGCCATTTAAAATGACTCATTTCCTGAGGACATCCGAAAGCCACGGTTTTACGCTACTTGGTCTTGGAAAATCAACAGGGTGGAGTTCTTCCGGATCACTCTTAGAGGTCATCCCTTGGGAGAGGTCAGACAAATTAGGTGGCCCCTCTTTGGAGAATGTGTCCTGTTTCCCTAAATTACATTTGAGGTTTTATCCCCAAGGCTGTCTTTAATGGATCAGAAGGAGTACATTGAAGGGAGAATGGGTAAATAATATTTGCTAAGCATTAATGGCAGTTTCAACCAATTAAAGAAGTAGACCACTAAAATGATTCATCTTACCTATGTGCAATTTAGTGACACAATGATTTGAATTTTATCACATGAAGAAACCGGAGACTTACAATACATCAGAGGCTAATGCAGTTGAAAATATGCTGTCAACTTCTGAAAAAGTTTAATCTGTGTATATTTTAGTCCAGTGAAATTTAGATTTTCTGGTTGGATTTTTTTCCTAGTCATGTTTTTCTTTTGGATTCTTTTTTTTTCCTCAACAGGAAATAGAAAATAAACATCTGACCTTAGCATAGTTAACCTCAAATAAATTAATGGGTGGAATGAAAATCAGACAAATAAATCAGGGTGTGTATACTCTGAAAGGAAATTGCAGACTGTAGCACATGATTCAATATTATTTGAACAATGAAATGCCTTCCAGGCCACTCAAACAGTGAAAAATTCACAGCATCCCTAACTTTGAAACAGATTGTAAATTTAAATGACTGAAATAAAATATAAAGCCAAACTTTAGTCATATACATACATCTTCTGTGGATCTTTAGTTAAGGTTAAAACTTTAAAACTCTAAACCAGAGAGCCCAGTCTTACACACTTTGTGAGTATTGTTAATTCTAAATATTTTCCAGAATACTGTGCTTTTAGAGATGCCATGACTATTTTGTATAGCAGTACACAATTTTTTCCCAATGCATAAGAATCTCTGTGGCCAACTTCCTGAGGGCTGAGTTTATTTCACTTCTATCACTGAGAACTATTTCATATAATTGGACAAAAAAAAAAAAAAAAGTAGAAATTATTCCAAATGGAAGCTCTAACTTGTAGCAATATATTTGTTTACAGAAGGTTTCATGACTCGTGTATCATTAGGAAAAAAGTAAATAGATATACAGGGACCATTCACCTTCTTAACATTTAAGAACACAGTGTTTCTGAGATAACTTTTTTAAAAAATTATAATCTAATATTTACTCAACTTTTCCCAGCCTCCCTTTCTTAAACTGTAAAAGAGTAGAGTAAGCTTACGGAATTTTGAAGGTTAAATTACAACAACTTATGAGAAAGTCCTTTCAAATGGAAAGTCCCATTAACTCATCCTTGCCTTCCACTTTTGACTGAGGCACTGCTCCCTCCCAGTGGCTATATTCTATTAACATGTTGTTGAAGTTCGTTCTTCAGAGATAATATGACTGGGGGAATGGAGGAGAATCATGTCCTGACTACCTATACTTTTTTAATTCTGCTTCAGGAAATACCACTTGATAAAAATTTAGAACCCCTTAAATGCTTAAATGGCTGTTGTTTCCTCTGGAATCAGAATTACCCAACACTTGAAAAAGTTCTCTTCAGCTCCTAGAACCAGATCTCTATGTATCTTTTCAAAGGGGAAAAAATAAACTTCCCCATACCCCAGAACTATATGACAACATAACATGGTTTCTCTATAATAAAATCTTAAGTTTAATTTATTGAAGTAATAATAACAAAGAAGTAGCCAGATAATCCCCCCGTAAACAATCCGAAAGAATGAACTAAGACTGTGCAAAAGAAAATCCAGTGAATATTCATGCTGGTCTTTAAAAATCAACCTGAAAAATCACTACTCTGCTCCAATTCAGTGGATCTTGAATTTTTTGTGGGTGGGAATGGGAATAATCTCCAACAGGACTTTTGTAAAACGTACCTGTAGAAGTAAGTCAAGAAGGACTTAATTTATTCTGACAGTCAATGTAGCAACATAGACATTGCTTAAATTATTCATCTTTCCAACAGAAAACTCCCCTCCTGGAGATCTCAGGATTGCATTAGACCCAAGCTAATTCAAACACGAATTTATTTTAAAAGTAAACACACAAAATAAAATTTGCCCTTGCACAGATCTGCAGTAAATAGCACTGGGATTTGTAGTTTAAAAAAAAAAATCTACATCTAATTTTCTAGATAATTTTTCCTGACCTGTGAAGAATCCTTTTAATGAAATTCTGCTTTGTTTCATAAATAATGCAATGCTTGCTGTGACTAGGTGAACCTAATTAGATAGGAAAGGATATTACTAGCAGACCGGTGCTATTACTGTGAATAAACAGTGTCTATACCTTTTCCAGGTACAGGTCTATCATTGGTGCTCCCAGTGACTGACTTAGAGTAGTAGCAGTGTCCTTCTGGAAGAGATGGGCTCTGTTACTTGCAGCCTCTTCCCTGACTCTAGCTGGGCAAGAAGACCTTAGGAGGAGTCCTAAGCCTCAGGTTTCTGAGCTGCAGACCCATTCTTACAGCACAAGGCATATTAAAGACTTCATAATGCCTCTGTTGTTCCTTACTTCACTTTTCAACACTTGCTTTTGATTTCAAGAGTTCTGTGGCCTTGTATTCTGTTTCTGTTTAGAAAAGAAAGTAAGTCATTTCTGTAGTCACTGAACTTTGAATGTACATAGCTACTCATTTTCATAGCAGTAGGATCCTGAGTGAATGTGAAGTCCGAGGAGATGGGCTGAGAAGCAGCTGGAGAGGGCCAGATGCTTGGCAGAGCAAGCAGGTGCCTTAGAACATAGGTGAGCCATCATGGAAGCTCTTAGGGAATTTAGACTGTCCTTTTCCTTAGTGTTTTCACCTCAGACATTTATTTGAAGGCTCCAAAGCCTAAACAAATCAGAGAAAGAGAAAGCCTTATGAAATTACCTTTTCTAAGTTAAAGGAGGACACATGTCCCCAATAGACTATTATTGCTTGTCACAGAAGAAATGAGAAGCATGGAAATTGCCCTCACCATACCCATGGGACACCCCTTAAATCTTTCAGAGGTCAAAATGTTTTGCTCAACATCAAAAACAAAGAGAAAACAAAAGTTTCTTGGGAAGAATTTGACTTCTGGCCATGATGTGCTTTGCAGTCAATTCCAAAGAAATCATTGCACACAGATTTCCCAGGGTCCTTTCCGGAGCCTGGCGCTTCTTCTGACTTTGATTATAGCTCTGATCCCCTCTGATGGGATCTCAGAGATGAGTGCCAGGCTCTTGTCCCCAGAATCTGTGAGGTTAAGTGCTCAGTGGCTGTATCAGGGCTCCTAAAGTTTTTGTGCTAATTAAATGTGCCCAGAGAGAAGCCACCAGGAGCCCATATGCTGGCTCAGTGTTTTACTTTGGCCTGACTAACTCTATTTCTTCAACAGCCTCCAGAGCCAGTGTGAATAATTAGGGATTTCAAGCTTTAAAAGGATGTATTTGAACTGATTCTGTCCCTTATCCCTTGTCAGCCTAGAGAAGCCTGACACAGTGTCCTTCCTAAGAGTACTAGTTCTAAAAGATGTTCATAGCTGCTTTATAAGGAGTAGGGAGGCATCAGATAAACAGAAATCTCCAAGTTGAGCAAAGAGAAAAAAAAATGCTATTTAACTTGCCTTCCTTCACATTTTAATAAGGGTCCCTTCTGTCCCCAAATTAAATTGATCTTCTTAGTAGGTACAGAGCAGGGAGGCCAGAGTGGCATTGGACTGTCAAGAAAATTGGCAAGTACAGATCCTAGTTTTATTACAAGGACATTTTCTCAGCTTTTCTACATTTAAGCCTATTCCACAGGCTCATTCAGAACACTCTAGTGACAGCGATGGAACAAACCTATTAGGCTGCTAACTTATGTCTACTCCAAATGTATCAGAAGCCACTGGATTCTGCACTGACTTGGCTTCTTTATAATTCTCAAGTTAATAATTTTAGAATTAATAATAATTTATAATTCTGAAATTAAGTACCTTGATTGCCTTCCTTAATCAGCATGAATTTGGTCTACTGATCTGCTTCCCACTCTCTTGGTGTTAACTTTTGCACATTAGGATGATGGCTTTCACTTAATTGTGCATTAATTAAATTTTTGATGTTTAGATGTTTTAAGTGCTCGAGATTTTTATCCCAAGAACTATCTCAATCCAGTTGGAACCAAATTGTAGTAGGAGAAAGGAAATGAATGAAAATGGAAAAAGAATGTCAAGACAGAGAGTCACTTTGGAGTTTGTTTTTAGGGGGAGATTTTATGCATCATCCTTTCTCAGCCCCAGTAGTCTTGCTTACACTCCAACCCAGAGATGTTTATGAAGATCCCTCCCTACAGGACTCCCACATCTGTGCAAACAGCAGGCACTGCCGAGGCAGCTGGTCAGCAGTGCCACCAGCCGGAAACTCAGCACCTGAGCCAAGGAAGTTGAAAGTGACTGTAGGCTTCTGAAGGACTAAAATTTATTTATTCCTGCTAGATTAGCATACTGTCTGTCTGGGAGTTATTTATTTATGCCTCTGTGTTTCAAATATGTGCTCCCCTTCCATACTTACATGGCTTCAGCTGCAAAAAAAAAAAATCTTTGACCATGAAGATTTGACACAGACTCGCCATTAAAATAAAAGAATGCAATGTTTCATTGGGGTTATGACTTACCTGAGGGGAAAGAAGCAAACTGTGCCTACCCAACTTAGTAGTCATGGTTTCCTATTTCCACTTTTTCAGATTGTATCCACGGCACGCAAGCGCCCTGAACAACCTTGGAACGCTGACGAGAGACACGGCAGAGGCAAAGATGTACTATCAGAGAGCTCTCCAGCTCCACCCGCAACACAACCGCGCTCTCTTCAATCTTGGGAATCTCCTTAAGTAAGTGGAACACACACCATTGATCAGGTGGCTTTGTGATTTTAAGAAACCCTTTCTTGCTGGGTATAGTTGTACAAGCCTGTAATCCCAGCAGCTTGGGCATCTAAAGAAGGAGGATCCCAAGTTTGAGGGCAGTCTCAGCAACTAAGCAAGGCTCTTGTGATTTAGGGAGACCCTGACCTCACAAAAAAAGGGTGGGGGCTGGAGATGTGACTCTGGGTATGCCCCTCTGGATTCAGTCCCTGGGAACCAAAAAAAAATTAGAACCCTTCCCTTCTTAATACTCAGGTCTTTTCCTGTTGTCACCTTTTCCTAGAGGTGAATAATTAGGGGTTTTAAACTTTGGGAAGCATAATATTCATCACAATTAATTCTATGTGTTTCCCAGAGTGTCTTTCTGGAAATACTGGTTCTAGGAGATGTTTGTAGAGTATAAAGGGATAGGGATTGGAAAGGGTTATATGGCCAAATAAATTTATGATTTGTTGAATTAAGCAAAGATAGTTCTTTTATTACAAGAAGCTGTAATGTGCTGATATATCTTGTGAATCTTTAAGAACGAAACTCGGACAAACACAGCATTTTTCAAAGGTTTTTTTTTTTTTTCTTGATAAGGCATTTCCCAAGATACATATTATATAATATGCTTTGGGAAAAGCAGCGTTCTCTAAAGATGTAATTTAATGGCATATGCACAATCCCAGAGGCATGTCTGGGATTAGTAGTGGTGACTTTTGGTCTTAGGAGCAGCTCTCGGCCATGATCACTGACGTTCGATTTTCACTCACTGTCCACATAAAGGTTGGCAGTGTGATGAGTATCCTTTTGCATCTTTTGTTTTATTAAGGTAAACTCTAAGCATGTAGGTAATGGGCTGGACAATGATAATAGTAATAATAGTAATAATGGTGGTGGTTATAGAATATAGCTTCTAAACTTAAAATTTTTAAAAAACACAAATTAAAAATCAGAAATTGAAATTTACAAAGTGAAAATAGCTGGAATCAGAGGTAGTGATATATTTACCTGGGTATCAGAAGACTGTCACTCCACATGCTTACTAAATAGGCTACTGAGCATGTCTGACTGCCTCTCCAGTACTGTGCAGGCTCGTGGCTTACTTTGTTCTTTTATCCTCTTCCTAATAGGATGGTCTTCAGTGTCTCAGTAACACAGTATGATGTCTCTTCCTTACCTTCCTGATTGCTTGTTGACTTCAACATATTTATGCACATGTTGGTCCTTTCTATTAATGTGTGTGTTTATTTAATCTCATTTGAACAGAAGCATTGGGGTGAGTTTATCACAAAATAATCTGATATAATATGAGCTGATAGGTGCCATCTAGATCTGAAGGTTTTTGTTTACAAATGGCTTTATCTGTTTGGTTCCATGGTACACACCTGTAATCTTATCAGCTTGAGAGGCTGAGGCAGAGGATCACAATTTCAAAGCCAACCTCAGCAATGGCATTTCAGTGAGACCTTGTCTCTAAATAAAATATAAAATCAGGCTAGGGGGCTGGGGATGCGGCTCAAGCGGTAGCTTGCTCGCCTGGCATGCGTGCAGCCTGGGTTTGATCCTCAGCACCATATACAAACAAAGATGTTGTGTCCGCCGAAAATTTAAAAATAAATATTAAAATTCTCTCTCTCTCTTTCTCTCTCTCTCTCTCTCTTTAAAAACAAAAATCGGGCTAGGGATGTGGCTCAGTGGTTGAGTGCCCCTGAGTTCAATCGCTGGTACCTCCCCCACCACAAAAAAAAAAAATGGCTTTATCCACCTATAACACAAAATCAAGAGAATACTATCAAATAAAGTGAAAGAAATAAAATATACATCAACAATAAATTAATAAACTTTGCTTTTTAAATTAGTTGACATTGTCAAAGTCTGACAAAAACTGAGAATGATGAAAACCAACTGAGAATGAAGAGAGGTACAACTGCAGCAGGAAAAAAAGAAAAAAATCACTGCTACTAGGAAGCTCCCTTTAAAAATAATAACAAATCAGGCCAGGCACACAGGTGCACACCAGCCATCCCAGAGATTGAGATTAATCTCAGTGGATTAAAATAATGTTAATAGCTAATATTTACGTGTTACCTTCATTCTACATGGTATTATCATCCATCTCCCTATTTTATAGGTGAAAAAAACAGGACTCTAGAAAACTCTCAGGACCTTTATCCTGTGGCCAACCAATAATTGAATCCCTCTCTTTGGATTCTTTGTCCTATTTGCTTCCTATTCCCTATACTTCTCAAATAGTTCTATGACCCCAAACTACACAATATTAAACTATTTAATGGCATGCAATTGCCTAACTGTGTCTTTCCTAAGGAAATAGTAAAGTTGGTTTATGATGCTGAAATTGCATTGCCAAGTGACAGAGAAAGGTGACCCAGAAAACAGTGGGGCTAATCTACATTTAGATAGCTCCGAACTTTACTTCTACGTACCTTAAATTATTTCTGAACCAATGGCAATGCAAGATAAGAATAAGAATATTCTAAATGTGGTATGACATGATCTGTTTTACTATTTAAGATTTATGCCCTCTTTGTCTCTTGAGATAATATTGGAGTTATTACAATTCACTTTTTAGAACTGTATCTTTTCTTTTTAATAATCTAGAAGTTAATGCTCATTCTAAGAACCTGAATTATCTCTATAGATATAAGCAGCTTAGATTTGCTCTAAGAGGAAAGCAGTGTCATTATTCTTGTTTTATAAACAAGGATTTTAAGATTGGAAGATTATGTGACAAGGTTCCTCTTCCATAAGGCAAAAGAATGGAACTTTGGTCTGTCTGACCTAGTACCCCTGACCTTAAGCACCATACTTTAGTGCCTCCTTGTGGCCCAGCTCTAAACTGCAGAGAGCCTAGAGCAGCCCAGTAAAAATACAAGGAGTCAAGCAAGTAATTTAAAATTCTCAAGAAGCCATATTTTAAAGCATAAAAAAGTAAGAGAAAGTTTAATAATACATTTTATTTAACCCCAATTATGATTTTATCATGTAGTTAATATTTTTAAAAATTTTAAATTTATCATAAAATTTAAAATATTAATGCATTCTTCTTTATACTAAGTCTTTGAAATCTAGTATCTGTTTTACACTTACAGTCTGCCTCAGCTTAGCTGTCTATCTCAGGCTAGCTGTATTTTAAATGTGCAACAGCAACATATGGTCAGTAGCTATTATATTGAACAGTAGAGACATTTAATAATCTTGACTTTGAGAGAAATATGAGACTTTGTTCAGGCCTGAAGGTCTAAATAAGATGTGATTCTGTCAGAGAATCCTGGCAATATTGCAGCAACTCATTTGAATTCTTGGAATTATATGACAGCTTTTCACAGTAGTAGACTTTACTGAGTGTTATCCAAATATATTTGGCCTCTTTCATGCCTTTTCGTGGGACTTGGAAGCTAACCTATTATGATTCTGTGCAGCACATTTACAGCGTGAGAGATTGATAAGAACCAGCTTTCCGTGCCAGCATTCTTAATTTCTATTAATTATTGTTGGCTTTGCTTAGAACCTAAAGCATCCAAAAAGAAGAAGGAGGAGGAGGAGGAGGAGGAGGAGGAGGAGTGGGGGAAGGCAAGAGAAAAGAAAATAATTTGCAAGATTAGCATGAAAACTTTATAGATGAACAGAGCAGAAGTCCCTGATGGCTCAAGAAAATGTAATAGAATATTTAAATTAGAGGTATAGGAAAATATTCCTGTGAGTGATTAAATAGTTGCTTATGTTTGTTACTAAAGCAGAAGATTAAAAGAACTTGTTAAAGAATCAGGTCATACCTCCCCATTACCACCACTACTTGCCATTCACATTCAAGGATAGGAGTGTTAGAGTAAACCTGTTAATCAGAACTAAGAGAGAAAAACGTAATAGAATATCTAATAATTGAACTATATAAATGAATTTGATGACAACATACATTTTTACACTGTTCCTGAAGAAAATGGAACTTCTAAAGAAGTCTAGGACCCCAAAACAAGGATACTATTATCTTTATAATAAATTTGAATGTTTGGGATTTGCTTCCTCACCGTGTGGGTATTAGCCACACAACCTTTTTTTTTTTTCTTCCATGAAACAAAATTTTATACATTCAAGATAATTCTGTCCTCCACTTTTTAACTGCAGCTCCAGAGTGCGCAAAATGCCAGTTCAATGGATAATGAATGCTTTACAAAGCCCTTACTGCCACCTGAGAACATCACCTGTGAGTGGCAAGTGCTGTGGAAGGCAAACCCTCCCCAATCAAACCCATGGTGACCTGGTAGTCCTCAGGTTACTTCCCCCTTATCTCTGGTCCCAACCCACTACACTTTTCCTCCCCTCATCTCTGTTGGTCTCATACCTGTCTTGTCTCCATCTTGCAGCTTTTTTTTTAATATTTTTAGTTGTAGATGGACAAGATATCTTTATTTAATTTTTATACAGTGCTGAGAATTGAGTCCAGTGCTTCACATGTGCTAGGGAAGCGCTCTACCACTGAGCCACAACCCCAGTCCCCATCTCGAAGCTTTTTAAAGCTCAGTTCACCACCTCTGTCCTCAACACTACCAATTAGCACTATTTTGTACATTCTTCTAGACTATCAGGTTCTGGATCTCCAGGGCAGTGATTCGAGCTTGCCAACCTACACTACCATCTTCATTAGTTCAGTAATTCTGGTGATCACCCAGTTCTTCTGCTTCCTTCTCTCCAATGCACTTCATTTCTGTTCCACAGTGGTCATTCACCAACATGGCCCTGACGCTTTCTAACCATGCAGACCTTTTGGTTCTCTAGTGCCTGAATTCTGAAACATTCCTCTTTGACCTGGACCCCCTTACCTCTGCTCACCCTCTCTTTCTCCCACTCTCTCCTTACTACTTCAAAGGGGTTGTAATTGTGACCTATCACCTCCTAGCTCTTCTCTATGCTCAGTTGTCTTCTTTACCTTCTGTGGTGTTATTCTTCTCTTATTTTCTCAATCC